TCATTTTTCACACTGGTCTTTCATTACAGATTGCTTGTAAGTACATTGAGCATCCAGTTCTATTCCCCAGAGCTGACAATAATTATATGGTTAAATTCGACCTTCGTTACATCGTATTTGTCAATCAAGTGCGACCCTTACGTGCCTTTGTATACAACAATTTCTGGATTCGTTTCGCTACTAAGTAAGTCATTCATTCTACTCTTATTTGATTATTTGTTTTATTTCTTTATATAATTCTCGCCATTCCTCAGTACTGCTACGAGTAGATGAAAAAAAGCTTAATCCTAGAATATGCGAGCTGGGAGGGGGTGGGCGCGTGCTGGAGGTTTTAGAGAATATCTTGTGGAAGACGGAATGCGCTTACTCGAAGACCCTTCAACGAAATCTTTCATCCTTTTTGAACTAGGCAAACCCCTCATCACCATAACGGCAATTCTAGTTTTGCCAAACTGGTTTGAAGCCAAACTGTTCACTCGATTCCGTGGTCCTGGTCTTGCCATGTAATGGGTCCGCGAGCCGCCAGAAGCGGAAAGTGCACGAAGTCCCGAGTGCTGTGTCCCGCTACTGCCCTCCGCCCTCGCTGCCGCACGACCAGCTACACGCCTGACCAAAGCCTATCGCGATACTTGTCTGCACCCTCTCGTTTCTTGCCGTTCTCATCGCTGAGTGCGTGTCTCACTGCAGGACCTTTGCATCGACGCAAGCGCTGCACCTTGAGTAAGTACGAAGTATGGAAATATCACCCGGGTATCGCTACCTTCAAGCCCCGTTACCGTGCAATTTGAATGGAGAAAGTGGCACATTTTTGGAGTGTGGACCTACACGGGGGGGGGGGGCAAAAAAGTCACTTTTCTTCATTGACTTTCGAGGCGCTATAAGTTACACTTTATTGAATTCTGATCGGACATTTTTACCACCATATTAAAGAGCATATGAATACTATCATGACACTCCGCCACAGCCTTCTGGACGAGCGTCACCGAGAGATTCTGGCACGCGCGGACCGCGAATGAGGTGCCTTAAGATCAGCGAAGGTAGTCTGATTTTCCCCCACGTAGCACCATCCTATTGAACTCCGCCTAAAGCGGATAACTGAGAGGATTCAGTCCGGTGACCTACTTGGATATTCCATCTTCTTTAGGTACTCAGCCCCCTTCCATTCCAAGTAGGCGAGTGTTCTCCAACGCCCTTCGATTTCATTGGTGGCACTATATGCTGTAGCAGTACAAAGTTTCCAAGAAGGTACGGGCGACGACATGTGAGGAGGATATTCTTCACGAGTTGCTCAATAACCGCCAGCGCTCACCTTCAGTCCGGGGTCCACGAAGAAAATATTGGTCTTTCCATTCCAGGTACGTCCGGTCCATACCATCAACCCGCGCCTTGGCGACTGCGGTGAAGATGATGTCCTAGACCGTGGCGACGTTGTCGGAGCTGCTCGATGTTGGAGGTCTTCCAGATTGAGAGTACTGGTCTCCAGGTAGCTATCCATGGTGACTCCATACTAGAAGTTTCGCAGCTGTTTGGAGGTGACATGAATTCCAAAGGTCTTCTCCAGTCAGGCTGCGACTGGAGATGACTTCATATTTTGGTGTACATGAAGGTGATGGGCGAGAGCCAGCTCCTGCTTATCGAGGAACATCTTGGGTATCTTCCGCCCTGGTACTCGTATCCACGTCCTCTGTCTGGGCAGCGAAAACTTTGCTGATATGTGACTCGGTCGAAGTGACTTTTTTTTGCCCCTCCCCTGTATTCATCTCGCCCAATACCAACAAAAGGGAGCCCCCATGGTGGCCTAAACTTGTCTGAAGAGGACGGCCTTAACATGAAACGGGATTAACGCGGAAGCGTAGCAAAGTCTCCCCGGATCAGGTCATCCGGCATACAATGAGCCTCTTCGATTGGTTGAGCGTCTTAAGGCTGATTTCAGTATAAACGAGCAATCTGTTAGGGATTCAATGATCGCTCTATGAGTTCTTCATTTTAGCAGTGCCACGGGGTCACTCTAATGTCTTCATTTGCAAAAGTTAGATTCAACATTTATTAGTTACTTATCCTAAAAAAATTGGTTGCCCAATAGCATTCGGAAATCAACGAATTAAATTTCTTGAGTAGGGAGACGATTACTAAAGGAGTAGGAGAGTAAAGAACGTTCATGAAATTTTTTACTAATAATTAATAAATAATTAAATTGATTTGGTACTCGGTCTAAAATGCTGGCAGAGTGCTATATAGTGGGGGGAAAATGGCGAGAAAACGTAGTGGAACGGTCAAAAACCTTGCGAGGATGCCTTGGTTCTTCATAATTTAGAAAGCAATTTCGGACGAGTTTCCCGTTGGCATCTCGCCAATAGCCGCTACTGTGATACAACTGCACGTACGCCTTACATATCCATGCAGCACCGCAGCCGCATCATGCCAATCCCTCTGTTTCATGTTTTACTTCGCAAATGAAGCAATACGAGCATCAGGATCGGTCGGACATTCGTGAGCGGGCGGGCGCGGTTAGCGTCCGGGTCGCTGTGTTGTAGCTTGATAGGGCCTTGTAAGGGTACCTTGCTTTGGAAAGGCGCTACGCAGAGCCTGCTTAGGGGCCTCTATAACTGGATCGGACTTTCTGCCTGATGTCTTCTTGTTTAGCGAATTTTCCTTGCGTCGACTTGACGATGTGGACACCCACTTTACTGTTTTCAATTACAGTGATGACGAGAAAGTTTTACAGGTATTTACTTGTAATCTTTGTTACCAACAGTTTTCATTATACTTTTTTACTTGAACTTCATTTTTGCTGTTAAATTTTGTTATATTCTTACTTTTATTCAAATTTTTCTCAGATGAAATGTCCAGACTTTATCGAACGAATTGAAGCAGCCCATCCTTGTATCAAGTGGTCGATTGTTCAGAAGCAAATAAACCAAGTACTAAGGAACGCACTGGATGCTGCATGCCAGTTCGTTTTTCCATATTAAAACAGTGTAATTGATGTTTACATGTGAAATTCAGCTGGGATCCACCTCGAGGAATGGCCAAGAATGTGCAGTCGAGAGCCATGTACGGCGCTGATATCATGCTTCAATGGAAAGATAAAGGTACGGGGTTGTTTCCTTTTCTCATGATTGCAGTACGTTATAAGGTGGAGTTACGTCCGGACGAGTTTGAGGAAGGGGGGGCATTTTGTACTATCGTTGCTTCCCTAGTTCCGGTTTACAAGTCTTACTCTGGCGAAACCTGTGAACTCTTGTGAAACTGGAGCAGCTCATCTAGCCATCATGGTAAAACCTGTCAAATGAGAAGAAGCCGACACACGTCGATGGGAAGTAGCCGAAAGTGCACACATGCCACCCCCACTCCCAGTCGTCATACCTGCCATGGTACGCCCGTAAGGGAAGAGAAGTAGTCGGTTGCTGTCAGAGTCAGAGAGGTTAGGCTTAGCCGACGACGTCTTTTCTCTGTACTCGGATGGAGTATTCTTTCGGCTCACTTCATGGGGGTTTCTTTTTCGTTTACCGCGAATGCCATCATAATGGGAGCAGGCCAGGAAATGAGGCGCAAGATAGCCACAAAGTTTCACATCCACACGCACCCTTATAGTATTACGCTTATGGGCGACTATGCCGACATGGCGGATACATCAATTCATCGCAATGTACGGTCGACCATACTATGAGACCCGATATGGCGGCCAAAAGGGAGGAAGAGCATTGAAAGGTCAGTACGTCGAAGTGGGGGCGCTTACCGCTTCGACTCCTTATTTATCAAGGAAGGTAATACGGAGCTAATCAGGGAGGAGGGGAGTCGCACGGGAGAGCCTGTTTCCCTCGGCACCATGTTTGCACCCAGAGCCACTGCCCCCTTGCCCCCTGATATGTGCTGCACTCAGGGCATTCAGTACGTTGGGGACCCTTCGCAAGAGGGAGGGGGGTCGCAATCGGTTGCTGGACGGGGAGGAGGTTAACTGCTTCGAGGAATTTGTTTCCGGTTGTTTTCACTTTTTTGCTGCGCTAAATCCTCCCCGATCACCTCTCCCTATCTCCCTCCCACTTTGTGGGATAGAGGGAGACTTGTGAAAGAATTGGAAGTAGGAAAATAGTTCTTAGGAAATTGGAAAATCCAGGAGATTTTGTAGGTAGGCTTAAGGAGGAAGGCACGTACCAGATCAGGACAAATCTCCTGCGGGGAGCAGTCGTATTTACCTGAACTGTTTCCGAGACATGTCCTGAGGTACAATCCCTGAGTTATTTCCATTGACTTCGGTCCGCATGGATAGAGCGGTACACATCGCCAGGAGCGAAAGGAGCATCTTCAAAGATCCCAGCGGCTGGGCTGGATAGTCCTTGAGCAGACTTTCCTCAGCGACCTATCGGTGTGGAGTGGACTCCGAGAGACCACCCACTCCACGTTAAACACACTATGGAGCTTTAGACTGGTCACTTGCGAGTTCTTCCAGATAATTTGCTAAATAGGGCCCGCTCAAATCTCGGCGGCGAAGCGCCTGTAGTTCTCACTGCATTGTAAACCCTGTGTACTTGACGTCGTCAAGTTGCCACAGCGCAGTCAGGCCGGTGGCAGACGGCGTAAAATGATCATCACCCAAGGCTGCATTTTCTTACCAGTAAGTGATCGTCCGCGGAAAGAGAACGCAGTGCAGAAACTGACACGGGTGGGGCTTCGCGAACAGTGCTCACTGATGGCGACTATGTCACCCAAAATTTGCTCTGGCAGAAGAGCCCTTTCTATGGTGATGGAGCAGCCGAGAGAATTTTTCCATGAAATTTTTCTTGCTCATCCGCTATTTTTGCATTTGCAGAAGAAAAGGAGGTGCAACCTACGTTGCTGGAAGTCAACTTCATGCCCGACTGCGAACGAGCGATCAACTACTATCCAGACTTTGCTGACACTGTCTTCCATACGCTCTTCATGAATGAAATCAACCCGAAGCTGGTCACCGAGATTTAATATTTTCTGGGCATGTAGTCTTTTTTTACTGTACTCATTTTCGCTTTCACGCCCCGGATCACACTCAGTTACATCTTTATACGTAGTACGGTCGGTTTTGCTTGGTACGTTTAATGGGGTGAGTTTGGCACGGTGCAAGCTCGTCCTCCACCATTCATTGAAGCGAGCAAGCAACAATGATTGGTGGAAAATGGACTGGCTTCTTCAAAAAAACACGCCCTTCTCACAGGCCTCAGCGTCTGCAGCGAAAACGACTGTGCACGCGTTGCTGCCGTGGTCCGAGGTGCGAAGGCAGCTTTAGTGATAAGAAACCGAGTAATAAATAGTCGGGTTTCGTCCTCGTTTGTTGTGGACGGACATAGTATGCTAGATTGTTTAGTAGTTATTATATTTTATGTTTTTGAAACTGTATATTCAATTGATCTGTGGTCAGCATCCTTCTGGAGCAGCCAACATTTCCTGAAACCCGTTTGACCTTCTGTGTTCTTCACCTCTTATCCTGAAGATGGGGAGGGCGTGGCTGCGTACTTCGTTTGAACGTGGCAGCGCCTGCTGGTGGGATATATTCGTTTTGAGACAAATGTATTCACGTTTTCCCCATCGAAGACAGGATACGGTTGTCGCGAATGATAAAATCTCACGAAAAACGCATCCAACGGAGTGTGAGCGAGGGATGCAGCCACGCCCCTTCTATCTCCAGAATATGGAGTGTGTGTATTCAGTCGTTCTCCACTCAGTGTTGTTATGCCAATCGACTAAACTGCGTTGTTTTATATCAAATTTGTTAAGGTGATGCTAAATTTACCTCATCGACGCTGATGAAACAGTCTGTTATCTGGTTTATCACACAGCATTTTCGTGTTTGATTTTTTACAGCTTTCCAGACATCTACTGCATAAATTAATAAATACATTCAAAATACAACCACAGTGAGCACAAACATATGTAGTCATTCAAATGAGATGCAGGAAGAAGTCCCGAACGTCGTCCCAAACAGATGCTTTTCCAGGCTGAAAGTAACATTTAGGAGCTAACTGGTAATTTATAGAAAGTGAAAGGTATCCATTACAAATCATCGACCGTGACTTAAAGCAGCAGAGTCCTCAGCTTACAACAGACAGGGGGCCGAAGCTTAGGATTCTGTAAGCTCAGGATTCCTTACGTCATCGTAGGGAAGTCCATCGAGGCATTTTGTATCTGGTTACCAAACAGGGGATCATAATGGGTTTTTTTTCAGTTAAAGTTCCAGGCCGTCATATACCCCACTGGAGAGAGAAACTCCGGGAAAGTTTTGAGAGTGGTAAACATGGTCCTGCTGGAGGGGGAAGTTCTGTGAAAATGAGGGTAGAAACTAATGTGCTGGAATGGTACCAGGACCTCATTCTTGGGGGGAGCAAGAGGGAAGGGGCGCGCTGTCTCCAGCATTTCCCCAACACGATAACACTGATCTCTCAAAGGAGGTGAAATATCGTATTTTAGTTGCGGAGAAGGAAGGAAAGGGGATTGGGCTGCCTGTACCTTCCCTTGTTCGACAAAATATGTGGTACCTGCTCTGATGAAATTTTTTTTTGCACTGATGATTTAAACCTTCTTGAAGATTGGGCTGTCTGTACCTTCCCTTGTTCGACGAAATAGAGGGTGGTGAGGAGGGGGAGGGTCCTTTAAAGAGTCCCTATAGTCACCGTGGGCTGCCTCGTGCAGACAGAACTGAGAGGAGTGAAATGAGACCATGGCCTTGGTGATGTGATGTTCAAGAAAAATTGTGATTGCGTGCAAACAGTTTTAATGGGTTTCCGGTCTGGTGTTTTTTTTTTCGCAAGGTGCAGCTCAGAACACAGAAGGATAAGTAGATTCCAAGGGGGGGGACAGTGCACGGGAGAACCAGAAAAACTCTCATCGCTCACAGCGTAATCATCAGAATTTGATGATTGTTGGCAGGGATGATATTCCTTTCAACTGGAGTCGTCAAGGTGGCATTTCGTTCTCCTTCAAGTCTTGAGTAAACGTCTCCCATACTTGTCTAGATAGATAGACCTAGACCTTCCGAAGCCAGTGCATAATGGCCTTTGTATTTGCGTTGAGAAAAACCCATATCTTGATATTATCATACCCGCCCACGCAGATATAAGTAGAGAAGCCGAACTCAGATTTCCTGGCTCCAGTTATTCTAATGCGCAACCTATATACTTTTCAGGGCCATTCGAGAAGAAGCTACAATCGTCATCATTACGAACTGTTGCGGGGGCGTGTCAAGTGCGGTCTTGCGTTTGGCGTGTGTTATCGAAGTTCGTTCTGCCCCCAATTGCTCAAGGGCAAGCTGAGCATACTGGCTGTGTAGTATTCGATTGTACTAGCTCGGTGGTTCGATCCCCACTTTTTGTGCGCATACGCGTTTCGTAAGGTCAATAAAAATAGGTGAGAACTTGGCCCTTCAAACCAGTGTGCACGACTCCTTCTCCGCCGGACACGCCCCGACAGGGGCCCGTAATGATGAGAACAGATGTAAGCCGAATATGCATTTAGGAGTGCACTGGAACGCATTCAGGATTCTCCTGAGTTCAAGGATGTCAAGCGTAATGGCGTAAGCCAGTGTCTTTTTCTCGAGGGTCTCCGCTAAAAGAAGTAATTCTAAGATTTACTTCAGCCACTAGCTCGACTAATTTATGGAAGGCAATGAAACGCAACCTGGTTGCGCATACAGGGATGCCCTCCGCAGTCAGACGATATAAACGAGTGGCATGATGGTTGGCATGAACAGCGTCTCTGGCCGCGTGTGACATGCTGGGGAATGAGACCTGAGATTTGAAATGCTAGGCTTGTTTAAATTTCTAGCCCCGGTGCGATAAGGAAGCCACGCCCACCTCGTTTTCAACTGCGGTCGTCTTCGAATAGGAGACCAGTTTTGACTCGTCGTCTTCAGTTTCCTCCAATTCGTAGGAGGTGTGATGGGTGAATATATTAGAGGGTGCCTTCACCATAGAACCAGTAATGTTAACTTCCTGAATTGAGGCTACATTATGTGAAAAGAAATTCATCAAGTGAGTCTGACATACCGGCTGATTAGTGGCCACTATCCTGCCAGTACCGAAAGATCGGATGAACGTGAAGTTAGTGGCGGTGGACTGAGCGAAGATATCACAAGAATCCATCGTATTGATGTCGCACTCGCCATGAGCCCTTTCCATACACATAAAGTAGGAACCGTTCTGAAATGGCAGACATTGTTTGAAGCTGAAGCTGTATTTGAGCAATTGATTCCACTCCAGGAGTAAAGCTTTGACCGACCATAATGTGGCAAGACTCGAACTCGACTGGAATGATCTCATCTTCTTCTTCGATCACCACTACATATTCGGGAACCTCGTAGAAAACGAAAGCCTCGTTTTCTGGCATGAATTGCCCAGCGTGGACGATCTGAAAAAGTCATAAAGTCGAGTGCAATAGGACATGGGAATTCATGGGAATCTGAAAGCTGGCAGTATGGATTCCAGATAACAAAACTGAAGAAAGCAGGTCAAAGCCGTGACCTGTTCACAAAACTTGCAACTTCAAAGGCAGTTGGCACGATTGCTCCCTAAGACGAGTAGGATTAATACGCCTGGCAGGACGGAATTCCGCGACCCTGAGCAGGCGCTGCATAATGCCTTTTCCAAGGGAGGTGCCCTTATAAGGGCCCTATCAAGCCACAACATACCGACCCAAACGCCCGCCACGCCCGCCCGCCCACAAATGGACGACCGTTCCTGATGCTCGTATTGCTTCATTTGCTAAGTAAATTATGAAGCGAAGGGATTGGTATGAAGCGGCTGCGGTGCTGCATGGATATATGAGTACACACATGCAGCCGTACCTAGCGGTTATTGGCAAGATGCCTACGGGAAACTCGTCCGAAATTGCTTTTTGAGTCATTATAATGAGGCTTTTCTTCGCAGGTTTTTGACGTTTCACTTCGTTTTTCGTCATTCTTCCCACTATATAGCGTCCTGCTAGCATTTTGAGTACCAAATTTCGTGCCAACTGCCTTTAAGTTGATTTGGAAACATCGGCTACTAATCACGGAAAAGCTGTTTTTAATCAGAGACAAACTGTACACACGTCTTTGAGGGACCCTTCCCGTATGGTCAGCGGCTGCGCAGTACTGGTACCAATCTCCGGCCAAAAGCACATAGACCGGGCTGGAGGGTAGTAACGCCCGGGTGCCGTCCTCCATCCTCCGCCCGCGCTATCGGCCCTAGGCAAGCGTGACCATAACCGAATGCGCTGATTGTCTGCTTCCTCTCACTCCTCATTGTTCTCTACCACTGAGTGCGTGTTTCG